CCGAGCCGCCGCGGTGGGAAGTCAGCGACTGACCGCTTGATCTATGACGCGGCCTCTTCATAGGAGCTGAAGTGTCTGCTGTTCGGCCGGACCGGGTCACAGCAGCCGGAACGTCAGGGATATGCGCTCTTGCAATTGAATAGAAATACTTGTATGTGGAATGCGTATTCCAGTTGCACCCCGAAACTGTACAGCAATGCTTACAGATCACTTTAACAGCCGTCCTTACCGTACACATTGACAGAGTGCGGATAAAATTTTATATCTGTGGGAATCAAAGTTAACGAAAACAAAATCCATTCAAACAACGTTCACGCTTCGAAAAGGCAAATGCCCCCTGATTCAAATAAACCACACTACCATGCAACAAAAAGATCAAGCAAAGTATCTCGGACTTACCTTTGACAGCAAGCTCAACTGGAAACAACATATCCTCACGAAAAGGAAACAAATCGATCAAAAAATCAAAGACCTATACTGGCTCATAGGACAAAAATCTCACCTATCCATTGACAAGCTGCTAATATACAAAGCAGTCATCAAACCAATATGGACATACGGAACCCAGCTCTGGGGATGCGCCAGCAAAACAAATATAGATCTCATCCAACGAACCCAATCAAAAATTCTTCGTCTCATCGTAAACGCACTTTGGTACGTGTCTAACCACACCATTCACACCGACCTCAAAACTCCATACGTCACGGAAGCCATCAAAGAACACAGCATCAACCACTTCAGCAAATTAGCTAACCACCCAAATCCACTGCTCCAGCCACTCTTACTGCATCACGACCACAGAAGAATTGGACGAAAGCGGCCAGAAGATCTAAAGAGCTGAGGGACGCGTCGATGGAAGTGACCCACTCAAGCCACTGAAGTGTACAATTCTTAACTAATTGTACACAAGACAGAAAATTGACTGAAAGATTGTAGTATCTCATTGTCAATAAAGGAGATTAAAAAAAATATCTTTGGGTCCTCTCTGTCAGGTCCGAAATAGGGGGCAGGGAACAAAGAACGAGAATTACGAGGGACCCGCCCAAAATGGCCTACACAGATAGCTCTGCTATTTCGTGTCCTACTTTCAAGCGAGCTAGGCTTGTCTGCTTGACTGCCGTGCAACATATCTTTATGAGTGACTGGTACATGAAGGCAAAGCTATCGTGTAAGATGCCGTGGAGGCCCATATGATTGTGAGACGTCGAGGCTCACATATTTTCTAGACAGTCAGCTCACAGATGGCGGCGAGATTGTCAGCCTTACGCGCCGGCTGCCCTTTACCCCGAAGAAGATTCCTGGTACTCATTTCTATTAGAGGCTGAGTCGATTCCAGGGCCATTGTGCGGCTGGAAGGATTTGGTCCTCATCGGGAATCGAATCCGCGACTTTCCGGCTTGTAACATCTATGTGAAATATGTACAAGGCTGTGTCATAGCTCAGGAGATTGGTCGCCCGCTTCCCACCCCGGCGGCCTGGATTCGATCCCAGGTCAGGTCATATCGGATTTGTGTTGAACAAAGTGGCATTGTGAGTGTTTTTCTCAGAGTATTTCTGTTTCCTCTGCCAATTTTCATTCCACCAATGCTACGTACTCACCTACCATCCGGGGCTGGTACAGTAGGCCCACCAGTGGCTGGTACACCAAGTGGACTCAGTCTCACCTACCATCCGGGGCTGGTACAGTAGGCCCACCAGTGGCTGGTACACCAAGTGGACTCAGTCTCACCTACCATCCGGGGCTGGTACAGTAGGCCCACCAGTGGCTGGTACACCAAGTGGACTCAGTCTCACCTAC